GAGGCCACTGAGGCACATGGCCACATGGCCACATGGTTCAGTATTGGAGGTCAGGCTATAAACCAAAGCAGATGGATGGGGTTGCAGCTAGCTGATACACACTTGCCCATCATGTGGGTAACTCTAGGTTTGATGCCTAAAATCAAAGACAAAAAAACCCCAAAAACAAAACCCAGAATTGAAGGGAAAAAAAGAAGCTCCAGCCCTCATGCAAATTCATCTCAGAACCCAAACTCAAAGCCAAATGGAATTCAAGAAAAGACAAAAGGCCAACAACACAGACGAATAAAATCATAAACTATTCCTTGGTAAAAATCAACTAGCAAGAAAGATTTTTAGATTGAGGAAAAGAGAAGGCAAAAGAGAAACCATGGATACAAGTATAAAATGTAAAATAAAAAATGAAGTCTAACACCCCCCATCCCCGCCCTGTCCTGAGAGACTTAGAACCATTGTTAGCAAAGATTGTATGCTATTTTAGGCTAATTCACTTTGAAATCTACAAGGAAAATGAAAATATCTAGAATAAGGTAAATTATTCAAATTAAGAGAAAATTTGAATACACAAAAACACTCTGGACCAAAAGGCAGAAAATCTAGGAACTACTTCTAAATCTCACTACTTAGAAACCCTAAGAACTACTAAATATAACCATTTAGAAGATCTAAGAACTACTTCTGGGTCCCTATGATGCAAATATGCAACATTTTCAAGCAATTGATCATTGAGATTATGTTTAAATGCTTCCAACACATAGACAAATAGGAAAAGGTAAGTATAACCTAGTTTGGCTTATGATGAGTTGACTTGGGAATTTTTTTTACTTTTCCAATATGCTAAAGTGATAAGCCTTTAAATCTGAAGCTTCAGTTTTGATCTGTAGGCTGGCGATAGGAATTATGACCCTCTCTTGTAATGCTGAGCAGAGTAAGCAGCAAGCCAGGCTCCAACCAGAGGAAATAATGAATGTTTGACATTGCTGTGTCATTGGGCAAAGGATATTTGGTAGGTGGGTATAAAACATGCATTTTTATCTTATAACTTTTCCAGTTTATGTTTGGGCTACCAAAACATAACTATAATTTGTTAAGGAGCATCTTAACATTATCTAAAAAGAACAGAGTAGACTAATATTACCTATGAATATGGTGACAGTCTGCTCTGGGTATTATCAACACATATGAGGCCTCTTCCTTGGTATAGAGTTATTGCTGGGGAAAAGCTGCCCATACCAGAGCAGGAGATACTTTCCAGCCCTACCTACGGTTCTCACAGCAGAATGAGTGGAAGTGACGTATTCCTTTCCAAGTTAAGACTGTGTGAGTAGTGGCTGGGCCTTCTCATTCTTCCTTTCTCCTTCTCTGGTTAGATTCATGAAGGAACTGGGGGGCAGGCAAGCAACGGGTCTGCTGCCTGTGTTTCTAAATAAAGCTTTGCTGGAACACAGCCATACCCATTTGTTGACTTGTTGCTATGGTGACTTTCACACTACAAGGGAAGAATTGGGCAGTTGTGACAGATGCTGCCTCAAGAATTTACTATCTAGTCCTTTAAGAAAAAGTGCTGCTCTCCCTCTGGGGGGTGGTGGGGTGACAAGAAGGAAGGAGGCTGCCTGGAGGCCTTGCACGGGAGGAAATGTCTCCCTGGACTCTTCAGGGGCAAGAAAGAAGCTTAATGATAGTCCAAAGAGGGTAATTCCAACTAATATCCAGATGGATGCAGAATCTCAAATAAGATTTCTTAAAAATACTTCATGAAGCCGAGTGCTGGTGGCTCATGCCTGTAATCCTGGCCACTCAGGAGGCTGAGATCTGAGGAGTGTGATTCAAAGCCAGCCCTTGCAGGAGACTCTTATCTCCAATGAACCACCAGAAAACCAGAAGTGGCACTGTGGCTCAAAATGGTAGAGCCTTGAGCTGAAGAGCTGAGGGATAGCACCCAGGCCCAGAGTTCAAGCCCTCCTCCCCATGGACCAAAACAAACAATCAAACACACAAACAAGCTTCATGAGAGCCATATTTTCACAAAGTTAAGGATGATTGGGAAAGGTGGTAACACACAGAAGGAGATTCACACCATCACCTTTTCAAGCATTTAAATAAGAGCATCCAGCTAGTAAACTGTTCCTAGAAAGCAGACAGAAAAACACTTCCATAGAACATCTCTATATCAAAAGCTCATACTGTATATAGGAGTGAATGACTACTGACATTTCTACTTAAAAGAGGAAAAAAGATGAAAATATATCAACAACTTAACAAAAAGTGATATGTGATATATCACTTTTTTTTGGTTTTAATTTGACACAGGGTCTGGCTATGAAGCCCAGACTAGTATCATATCTTCCTTGTGCTTTTGAATTGTCGGTAGGTCAATAATAGCATTCAACCATGCAATATAAACATGATGATCAAATTAAATTATATAAACATCTCACTTATTGCATATATAGACATTATATGTGTATTATATATCACTTAACTAATTTTATATATAAAGTAAGAATTTATGTGTGATGTAGATGTTTCATATTTCCATATATTATATATACCTAATATATAATAAAATATACCACTTCATATGGTGCAAATATATTAGTTCATATAACTATACTATATTTGTATATATAGTTTTGTATTCATTTATAAATAAAATATATGAAAAATATATTATATATTTATATATTATTATTTGTTGTTTTGTTGCTGAACATGGGGCTTGAACTCTGGGCCTGGGCACTGTCGCTCAGCTCTTCAGCTCAAGGCTGAACCACAATGCCACTTTTGGTTTTCTGGTGGTTTATTGAAGATGAGTTCACAGACTTTGCTGCCCAGGCTAGCTTTGAACCATGATCCTCAGTTCTCAGCCTCCTGAATAGCTAGGATTTATAGGTATGAGCCACCATTGCCCAGCTAAGATTATTAATTTTTATATGTGCCTTTGATTTATAAATCTATGATTTTAATGTACCTAGACACTTTAAAATAAACTTTAAAAGTTATTGGAAGTATTGAAGAAGTCTTTAAAGGTGACCAGTTATGAAATAATATGCACAATTACAAGGTTTTAACCATGACAACAATAATCCACATGGATTGCTTAAACTAACAAAAATTTCGTCAAAGAAAATTAAAGAACATTTAAGTAAATGGAGAGCTGTATTTTATTTCTGATATGAACAAAGTATATTTTAATCATAAATTAACCTATAAATTCATTGCAATCTTACACATGAGGATTTAAGTCAGCATTTGAAAACCTGACTCTAATTTTCCTCTTAATATACTTTTGAAAGCAGCCAAGAAATGTTAGGGGGGAAAAACCCACACTACTATAAAGAAGTTTTTGATGGCAGATATTGACATAAATTATAAAATGTATCAGATAATTGTGGAAAGATAAAATTAGACCTATCTCCTAAACCAAGCTCTTCAATAATTTCAGAGGTACTCCAGATTTAAATACAAAAATGAATTACTCATCTATAACTGTTAGAAGATTGTCTAGGTAAACAAACTGTATGCTTGATGTAGATATTCTCAATATAGACAAATTCCGAAACTACTAGAGAAAAGATAGAATTAAAATTGTAATGGGTAAAAATTATTACACACAAAATCAACAATACCAAAAGGAAAAAGGTAAACTGGTAAAAGGATGGGCACTCTGTGTGGCAGATGATAGGTGTCTTTTTCCTGCATAAATAGCATTTACATAGCAGTAAAAAAAAAAAAAAAGGAACAAGCCCAGCAGGAAAAAAAGAGAAAAAGCTACTGATTGCCAACGACCTGAAATTACCTAAAAAAATGTGAACTTGCTATAAATCAAAGAGTTCAAGTTTGAAAATGTATTTTCCTATCCTGGCAAAATAAATAATATGTTTACAAGCATGGAATAGAAGGATTTTTGATGACAGATGTCTGATGGAGATTTTTTTTCCCATCTGACATTGTACTGGAATAACAATGGGATAATTCAGTTGAGTACTCTAGGTCAAGTAAAGGGTACAAGATATCCAGGATGCAGAAGAGAGAGAATCATAGTGAGATATTTATATGGGCACTGACAGCTAATTACTGACTCTCCTAGAGTGCACATGATCATGTTTATAGGCTTTAAGGGCAAGTTCATAAAGCTTCAGAGTGAGTGAGTAAGAGCTAGATTTTAAAAACTCTGGTCAACCTGATAAGAAAATTCTTAACAAACTTAGTTTTGAAACAAAACATTCTTACCCATTCCTTTTGATACTGTGTCAAAACATTTAAAAATCATATTGCCCAATCATACGTGGTGTTAGATCTCCCAGCAGCCTGTGGGCCTTGTTGGAAGCAAGTCAGTTTACCTAAGGGAATTTAAAGCTCCCCTTGGTCCCCTCCACCCCTATTTTTTCAAGTACCACCTCAAACCCTCCATGAAGGAATTCAATACATGCGGACAACCGGTGTCCTCTTAGAGGAGACCACAAAATGAACACAGTGCATGACAGAATGATTGTTTTTGCCTTCTCTTTCACCCCATGAAGTACACTATCAGAGAGTTTTCACAGGCATCCTATAACAGAAGCCTTCTTCCCAAAGACCTGTTCTCTCTACCTGGTGAGGTGAGGCCTGAGTCCCACTATACAACAGCTGATCTATGCTTGGAGTCCAGTGCTATACTGGTCCATCCCTCTTTTCAAAAGGAAGCCGAAGAATGTGGACCATCATTGCTAAAGTGGTGATGCCATAGAGGATGGATGCTTTGATGATTATTCCTAGTAGAGCTTTTCAGCCTAGGAGCAAACTTGCCCTGCATTGACCTAGCATTGAAATGGATGTAGATGAAGCTCTTCCTCACCCCAGCACCTCTGGCTTGGGAGGTGGAGGAGCAAGTCATGAAGGCATGGCTCTGGTCTAGTGATTGGCCCTCCTCCCCCTCCTGACAAAGTCCCTGATGCATCAGCCTCTGCTGCCCTGGGGGCTCTTGGGCACCCAGGACAGGTGTGCTATGTTCTAACTACCTTTGATGGCTTGCTTCACAGTGGAATCCACAGGGAGGATGTTCTTTTCCACCAGTTCCAGAGGCCCTGGTCTGAGAGCAATCTTCTCATTGAGATCGTCTGTGAGGCGGGCTCGTTTCAGCTTCATCTGAGCAGTTGTTGGGATGGATCTTTCTGCAGCGGAGGCTGATGGGTTGAAAGACAAAAGGATCTGTTTTTAGAAACTGTGATCTTCTTTATTTTATTTATATATATACTTTTTTTCTTTTCCATTTGCATTTGTGATTTTGGCTTGATGGTGGTTACTAAACATTGTGTTACTTCGTGCTCTACTGTCCTGATAATTTTTCAATGTCATCATCATCATGTTTTACAGGGATTAGCACCAAGACTAGACACTTCCAAATAAAGGCAAACTGAGAGGCACATACAAAAGTCAGAGAAACTAGCTTTGCGAGGATTTGCTTGAAAACAAATCTCATGCAAGTTGGCAGTAATTAAGCAGCCCCTGAAGTTTGTGATGTTTGCCTGAACCTAAACTCCCAGGACTTCCATAGTGACAGGTAAGGGATATATTTATGGTAAATGTCATCATGTTGGTAGTAATTAGTGCTAGTAGCAAATGTCTAACTTTTTAGAGGGTTTAGATTAATCAATGTTATGACATGGCCTGAGAGTCAAATGTCCATGTCAGTCAAAAAAGAACCAAAATTATTTTGAAATGGTTGTTTAATTAAACAGAGGGAGTTTACCAAGTTGCATATATCCAATAAGAAGGTCATCATCATTTGGAGGGGGTGAGAAGGGCCAGCTCCTGAGCTTTAAATCTACCTCTAGGTGGCCGACACAAAACTTTCTCTGAAGAGAGTGGGTCTCAACTCACTGATTTCTGTGGCAGAACATGGATGAGTACCTGGCTAAAGTATTTCTCTGATAAACAAATATAAGTGAAGATTCTGGAAGAACCTGGCACTGGTGGCTCACACCAGTAATCCTAGTTACTCAACAGGCTGAGATCTGATTATTGAGATTTAAAGCCAGCTGGAGTAAGAAATTCTGTGAGACTCCATTTCCAATTAACCAGCAAACTGCCAGAATGGAGGAGAGGCTCATGTTGTAGAGTGCCAACCATGAATAAATAAAAAAGGGGAGCATCAGGCCCTGAGCTCAACCCCTGGCACGTACACACACACACACACACACACACACACACACACACACACATACACACACACACGGAGTCTGAGTATGTATGTAGCTCTGTTCTTGATGTGTAGCTTTGTTCTCAATGTGTCACATTTAGATGATGTGTACGAATGGACATATCTCCCAGATCCTTATTATTAAACTACTAATCTCACCCTTGTATCAGGGGGTGGATCTCACATTCTCCATGCCTAAGAGTAGCTAATGGGCCATAACATGTGTGCTTGTCTAGAAGAAGTTATCTACCTGAGATAGATAGAAGAAACATCAGTGTTCCAAACAAAAGAAAAGGTCCCTAGGGCTTTCTCTTCCCCAACCCTCTGCTTGGAGGTCATCCCAAGGGCTCCTTGTGATGGCATCAGGGTTTTCTGATCCATTGCACACACAACCCATCACCAATCTTCAGAAAGTCCTTTCTTGATGCATCAACCCCATCCCCACAAAGGTCCTCTCAATCTACCCATCTCAATCTACATTTCTAAGAATGTCACACGCTGAATTAATCTTCCCAAGGACCTGTAGCTCCCCATCCCAAAGCTAGTACCCCAGTGATGTTGGTCTTGTCATTTCTGTCTCCTAGGTGAATTCACCTTCAGTATTATTTTTCTTGCTTTGTTTTCACAGCCTGGAATGCTTCTCACCTACCCCTCACCATGAATATCTCTTTCTCTCCCAGGTCCTGGTGGAAATCCATCCTGGCTTTCCTTGCCTTACAGGCTTCCTTTGCTTTGTCTGCCTGTTGTAGGCTCCTTCATCTAACATTGCTGCTTCTGATGTACAATGCGAAATTCCTAAAGATAGGGGTCATTCTGTATTTATCAAGTCTTTGGTTCTCCAGGAACTGAATCCTTAATTTCTACTGAGGAGAAGTGTGGTTTCTAAGGAAGCCACAGAACATGTGATAGAATCAGGAGCTGCTGATCAGTTCAAGACTTCAATGGGCCAGGAGCAATGGCTTGTGCCTATAATCCTAGCTACAAAAGAGCTGTAGGGAGGAGGATTATGGTCCATGGTTGGCCCAGGCAAAAAAAGGTTGAAAAAATTTCAGTAATTTGTATCTGTAAAATAACTGAAGCCAAAAGGGCTGAGGGTGTGGCTCAAGTGGTAGAACCTGAGTTCAAACCCCATTACCACCAAGAAGCGAGGGAAGGGGATAAATGCCAGAGCCTTGTGCATGCTAGGCAGGCATTCCACTGCTAAGCTATGTCTCCAGTCCCCAGTCCTCTTAGGATTTTTGGATTATAGCATTATTATGTGCTCATTATCATAAATGTGAATGAAGTTTATGATAGCACATGGTAATGCTAAAATCCCCAAAAAAGTATACAAAAGAAAATAAAGCTTCAAGACATTTTGCACTTAAGGTCAACTACTTTCAAAACTAAAGTTATTTATGTTTATGGCTCTTGATGTGTACTTTTTCTTCCCAGAATCTGCCGGCACATGCAATTTATATTTACATGTATCTTTTTTTTTCTTCCTAGAATTTGACTGTAGATATAGTTTAGCTTTCTGCTGTTCTCTCTAGATATCTTGTAAACTTTTGGTTATTGTCATTATTCTTAGAAACTTTGTTGGTTAGTGGCTCCATGGCTCATCCCCTATTGTTGGATTCTTGCTATTAAAGTACTTTCCATGAAGCTGGGCACTGGTGGCTCATGCCTGTAATCTTAGCTACTCAGGGGGCTGAGATCTGAGAATCGTGGTTCAAAGCCAGCCTGGGCAGGAAAGTGCATGAGACTCTTATCTCCAAATATCCACCAGAAAACCAAACCGGTACTGTGAGCTCAAAGTGGTAGAGTGATAGCCTTGAGTAGAAAAGCTCAAGGATAGCTCCTAGGCCCTAAATCCAAGGCCCTACCACCACCACCACCAACAACAACAACAAATGATGATTTTCATCATAGCTTAATCTTTAGATTTTGAATTATTTTCTTTAAATCAAAGATACAAAATTGCATAACAAGACAAAAGGGTAGATAGACTTTCAAAGAATTAGTTACCAAATCACTCTCTAGATACATAGATCAGCATATCCACCCACCTGTTACATGTATTTCTCAGACCTTTGTCAGATGTAATACATACTTTCATTTGCTAACTCAATCATCGACAAGTTTCCATCTTATTTGAAATGGCATTGCTTAGGTTATTTGTGTGTGTCTGTGCTCATGTAGCGCTGCTTCTGGGGTCTGTGAAATAGTATCAAGAATAATGACACCTCTGCCCAACAGCCCTGGGTATCCTTGCTATCTGGTCCAGGTATCAGACTTGTAAGCTATGCAGCCCTTTCCCTGAATACTATGTTGTCTTCTTTCCCTCTCCTTCCTATTATGGAAACAGTCCCCCATGTTAAAACAAACCCATTTGTTCCAGGGTTGGAAAAAAAGATCAGCTCTGGGAAGCGAGAGTAACAGATGAGATGTTGGTCAAAGAACCAAAAGCTCACCATTTTTATTATTTTTCAGCACCTTCTATACTCCTTACAGCCAGCATGCAGTTTTGTTGGGAAATGGTCATTATGTGGAGAGAAAGAGTGCTGGCTGGTACTAGGTCTGTGAGGCCCTCGCAGCCTGCAGTGCCTTCCCTGCTTTCCATCTACACTCCAGCCTTCACAGTCAACTTTTCTCCTCCTTCCTTCTCCAACCATTCTGATTCGGCTCTCTCTCTTCTCTGATCTTCTTTTGTGCATGTGCTACAGACAATGCATTCTCTCTCTTCTCAGGCATGACTGTGAATGAATGCTGATTCTCATGTCTGCCTCCTCTATTATTCTGTGAGGGCCCTTGGGGAGTAAGAATCTGTATCTTATCCATGACTAAACCACAAGATCCGTTCTTGTCTCTTTTATGGGCATCCAATATGGTATTTGCTCCATGAGTAACTATTTCGTAGGTAAACATCGGGGTAGGAGATGGGCCTCTTTGAAGCTGGGATTGCTCTCCCAGTGAAGGCAAAACTCATTGAGCAAGCAAGAGGAGACACCCCTCTTGTCACGTCAGAATATTAGTGGAGTGACTTATTTGCCCTGTTTCTTCTCCATTATGGAGGTAGCTCCCTAGGAAAGGTAGAACTGGGCCTGCATTGATCAGCACTGATTTCCAAAGTAAAGTAAATGGCAACCTGGATGAATAATAATTGGCAACAATTGTTGGATGATATTCTTATGTGCTCAGAGAGGTTATGCAATTGCCTTGGCATCAGAAAATGGCGCCACTGAAATTGAAGTCCCAGTCTTGCAACCTTCTTAGCCACTGTATAGCTTTCCAAGTAGGTTTTCTTCCAAGATTTAAAATGACTAGATGATAGCTTGGAATTACTTAGTGTAATGACTGGAGAGACTTTGTAAGAGATTTAGCAAATGCTCAATGATGGAGAAGGTAAAACAAGTCAAACATGTCACTCTCCTGGTATTCTGACAAGGAACTCTGGAAAACTCAGCCGGCCATTTGATGGATATTTTCTAGTTAGTAGGGGCATGCAGGCTTACCTTGGAGTATGTGCATATTAAGCAAGTGGGCACAGTCGGACCTGTTTCTACCCTTGTGCTTCAGAGAATCTTCAGTCTGTAGAACACAAACATGGAGAATGGCCTAGTTTTAATGTTATAAACAAAAGCCTCAATTTCTCCCCAAAGGAAACATACTCTTTGTATACCATATGGAAAACTGACCTATCTTGTTGCTAGAGAAACACAAAAGGATGGGAAAATAAAGGAGAGAAAGACAGAGCTTGGATACATGTAAAGCCAGGACCAAACAGACTCATGTTAATAGTAGTCAGTTGGGATACTGAGCTGTTTGTCTTATGATCAACCCTATTCTGTCACCTCTTAAATATAACCCAGGTCAAGGATAACACATGGTCTAAATCTACCTGTTGGAACATGGTAACATAGGGCCCACCCCTGTGAGTTGTCTGCAGTCTCCCTTAGGACATGGGAAAATGTAAAACCTGTATACTTTGTAAAGCATCTAGAAACAGATTATTCACTGGAGCTGTTTGGAGGGATAATGTAGATTAGACCAAAGCAGATCCCTGATCCTTGGTTTTTTATTTCTAGGCTTTTAAAGCATCTCATTGTGTTTCATGGCCTATGGGTTTCTGAGAAGGAGCTGGGGGAGTAGGTGGGGGTCTCTCTAGGCCTGATGGAAGACTGTCATTCTTTCTTCTTTTCCAGGTAGTAGGAATCACAGCCCTCCAGGAGCAGCTTTGAAGAGCCTTAGCATCCTGTCCTCCTTGTCTCATCATAGTTGCAAGGGTATAAGTCCTCGGCAGAGAAATTCTAATATGTGGACGCCTCATGAGCCTTCTCTTCCACTCCAAGTGCTAATAGTTCCTAACTAGTATTTGTATTCTTGATAAATGCAAGTTTCAGAGATTTACATAATGCTGCAGGATAAACTGATTGTCCTCTTCAAATGCCACACATAAAGAAACAAAACTCCAAAGAAACAAAACAAAACAAAACCCCATACCCCAAGCAAACCCTTTTCCAATACCCCCTCAAAGGAAACTTAAACACAATTCCTATTGCCTTTAAGTAACTAGTAAATAATGTCCCCATGGGTCTTGCCTTCCCATGGAATCTCATTGAAGAAAATCTGCTTAGAGAAGACTGTAATAAAAGGTAAGGCATCTTGCTAACTACCCTTACTTCCATTTTAAAAGTCCTTCTGACCTCTTATGCATCCTTGCTATGATTTTTCTCCCCAACATCAGGAAGGTTGAGAATACATATATATATTAAATATATTGAGAATATGTATTTATATATACATGTATACGTGTGTGTGTGTGTGTGTGTGTGTGTGTGTGTGTGTGTGTGTGTGTGTACTTAACAACAGTAACTTCAACGTTGACGTAGTCGATTCCACAGTGAAGGAATTGCTTATAGGAATTCTCGTGTTTTGGCTAAAGTCAAGCAGTCAGAGATCTATAACCGAATTGTTCCAGATCAGGAAAGACCATTTTCCACATTACCTTGTCACTATCCAACTTTTTTCTTTGCTCATGGAATTCAGTTGGGCTTTTCAGTGCTGTAACAGAAAGATAAAGATGTAAGAGACTGGCCTCAGGGTGTTGGTCAGTGTGGCCAGACTGGCTGAGTGTTTGCTGAGCTATGCACAGTCTGTAAGTGATTGCCTTTATTAGGCCACAAGCAATGAAAGAGAGAAGCCCAGAGGATACGAGATGCCTGGAAGCCAGAGGAGGCAGAGGAAGGTGGAAGTCAAGCCTAAACCAGGAGGAAGCAGCAGAAGCAAAATGCGTGACAGGAGAGAAATGGTGGCGGCAGGGTCATTCCAAGTTCTTGAGAAAACAAGAGGAGCCAGAAGTATCACTGGTTAAAGGTAGATGGGTAGCTAGCATCCTCTTTGGCTCAGGTTCAAAAGTTGGGGCAATGGTTGAGATCTGAAGTGGGTGGGGGCATATTGCAGGAAGGCAAGTACTTTGGAGAAAGAATGTGGGTGGTTGGTCATGTACATGCAACCCAGAGTGTCCAGTGGGGGGGGGGGGGAAACAACAACACAGAATTGTACTTGGAGGATTGGAAGGGACCTTGGGGATGGTGAAGTTCAATTCCAAGTTCAAATCTGACCTTAAACAGAATGGAGAAACTGAAATCTATAGAAATGGATCGTCTTCTTCAGGGTCATACAGTTAGGACTTGCAGTTTAGGTCCTTTGATACCTGATACTGTTCAAAATATGATAGTTGACTATGAACATCCGTAGACAGGCACCAGGAGACTGTGTATACAACAGCAGCCTAGATCATCGGACCTGATGCCATCTCTGTGTTTTTCTCTATGGAGTCCCATCTCTCTTTCAGAGTGCTTCTTCATTAGGAAAACTCGGTAAACCTATTCTATGTGAAATGCAGTTCAGCAAAATCCTATGGTTTATAGGTTTACAGGCCTCCTGCATCCATCTCCATTAGGAGATACAAGTTTTCCCTGTTCATTTGCTAAGCGATGAAGTCATAGGTTGCAGAATTATATTTTTTTATTGTAATTGGGAGAGAATGAGGGAAGGGGTGACACTGCCCCAAAAGAAATGTACTCTACCTGACTTACATAAGTGTAACTCATCTGCACATCATCTGTACAACAAGAAAAATATTTTTTAAAAAAAGAATATGAAGAACCAATTGCAAGTCTGGACAACTTGATGAATCACATGACCCCAGAGCTCTACAGTAAGCAAAATACATGTTCACTCTTAAGCTGTAGGCAATGAAGTTTTCTTCCAAATGCTGGCTGGTTTAAAAATTAAGCCAGATCAACTCGTGTGTGTGTGTGTGTGTGTGTGTGTGTGTGTGTGTGTGTGTGTGTGTGTGTGTGTATGTGTTGCATTCAGTCATTAAGAACAGACTAAATCTGAGCAGTTTGCAGCTTAGCTTGGTGGACATTAAGATGTGGCTGTAGTCATGATGGACATTCAAGTAGGATTCTGCTTGGGGAATTAATAAGGCATACTCCATTAGTCTTCCTACTGTATCTTATCATTGACCAGGCTGACCAATGGGACATGTCAAACAGTCCTAGGGACTTGTGAAACAGTTTTAAAGGCTGCCACATTCACAGCACAGTTGACCGGCACAGTTTCTCCTCCTTTTTGACTAGATATGAAGTGGCTTCCTTTGCTTAAGAAGAACACCTGAATATGTTGCTTGAATAGCACATTGCCCACCGATCTGACATTGCTATTTGCCCTTAAAATGGGTGTGTCTGCCATGCTCATCACTGTAAATACTCTTTATCATCATTATTTTTCCTTGCTCCATGACTCTAAGTAATGCATGGTGGCTCATGCATTTTCTTTTTGACTTGGGTACCATAGGAAGGAAATCTATTGAGCAATGTCTTACAAGACTGCTCCTTCTTCTCCAGGAAATCAGATTCCAAAAAGTCTGCTTGAAATCCAGTAGCCCTTGTGAACCTGTGCACTGTGGTCCAATAGATCTTCATTTCTGCCCTGTCACCTGGGGTCATTTAATTAGACATTACATATTACTGTGGCTTAATTCCTTAAAAGGCATTGATTTTTAAATTGATCTGTTTACTAAGTGGTTCAAAAGAATAACACATATCTTGTGTCAAGAAGTTTCCCAAAGGGAATTATATGAAATATATCTTGAGATATCTCTTCCCTTCCAAACACAATTGGCTTTAATTGGGCTTGGGAATTTATCTAATTTTTTTATGCCTAAGGCTGTTTAGGTTTTACTAGCAGAGTTGGTTAAATGGTCTAAGAAACACTGCATTTCATGTCTCTTAGCTTGGTTAAAGTGATGCTTTGTTGTTCCCTGGTGTTAATAATTCTGTGAAATGAGTCGCATGATGCAGTTCTCTCACACCAGGAACACAGAAGTCTTCTAGAATCTTCTACCATAGGATGGGATGTTATGTCCATTTAACAAGGTCTTGGGAAGAACCCTCAAGTGGTTTGCATGTTGTTTTTACCACACACTCTTCTCAAGGCTTAAAAGGGTATGTGGGACACTGGCTGGAGGTCACACTGTGGAAAACTCCCCTGCAGTGGCCTTAGGGTTGAGGTTTGCTTTCTCTGTGACTCCAGAGAATGTGGGTTTTAGCCATCTACCCTGCAGGCCTGAAGAAACAATAATGACCCCCAAGCCAGTAGATTTTATTTTTTGGGGGGGGAGGGATACACAAAGGACCACTTCTGCTTCCAGCCCAGGGAGTATCGAATGGCAAAATGTTGTATTTAAAGGACATTGACATTTAAGATGGAGAAGGAATTTGGATTTCTAAATTAAAAAAATAAGCCCTTGTAATTTCAAATAAAAATGCAGTTATAAATCCAGGCCGCCACACATCTGCCTCGCTTCCCCCTGGAGGAAGATTAATGGCTCCTCACAGGGGAATTCATGTTCTCGCCTCGGCGTTTAGTTGTGGGCTATTCCTATTTCTGTCCCATAGCTCCAGTTAATTTGGGTCAGCTGTGTGTATAAACATTTGCTTACTTAGAGCTCAGAGAACTCTTCTGAGATAAGGCTGGACCTCCTGCAGTCTTCACTCCACTGATCTAATGCTTCCTAGGGGATCATGGGTAAGGGTGAAAGTAGGTTGTGGGCGCACTGAGAACTAATTCAAGCACAGGCCTGACTCTTCTGCACAGGTAGGGTGCAGTGCTGGGCTGCAGCTCTGTCAGCAGAGATAGGGCTACAGGGCATGGCTTCCCTCAAGCGGACCTCTGACTGCCAGGCTTTGAGAGAGAATCTGGCTCTGTTGGCCAAGAGTCACAATCAAAGAGCCAGAAACCTCAGCAGAAGAAGCGCTATGGTTCTCGAAGCATGGCTCCGAGGCCAGCATTCTCAGTGTAATTTGGAGCTCCATTGCACAGAACTGCAGTAGCATCAGAAGCTCTGGAGATAGGGCATTGGGATTTGTGTTTGAACAAGCCCTCCAGGTGACTTTGGTGCCCAAGTTTAAGAACCTTAGCAGTGGTATTTACAAGGCCAGTGGGTTCTAGTTTAAAGTCCCTGAGAATCTATGAGTTCAAAGAGGAGCAGTGAAACACTGGGATTGATTTC